AAAACTGCTGGCTTTGAGTGGGGCCTGGAACAGGAGAAGGTTCTTCAATAGCCCCACGCTGCTGTGCAGGCTGCTCTACCACTTGGACCACATGATCCAGCAGACCCGACACTTGAAGTGTCAGTGGCAGAAACGGACGCTGTTTGGAGGCTTTGGCAGACCCCTATAGTCGAATTACAGAAGAGACCTTCAGGACTTTGGAACAAGACTCTACCATCATCTGCAGAAAAAGTATTCTCCCTTTGGGAGATAGTTCTTGGCCTACTTTTAGACCTTAGTGGAAACTGAGTTATAACAGTACCGTTTGGCCTGTGCTGCCCATCATGAGGTGACCCACCAAGTCATAAAAAAAGGATGTGTACAGCAGCAATCCATTATCATATGGAAGGGGCATGTATGTGATCGGGCATAGGCAGGTCCTGAAGGCACAAGCACATTACATGAAGAAGTTGCCCAAGTGCTTACGGTTTCTACACTGTCTTCTGCTCCCAAGCTCGTGGGGTGTTCCCTGTGATTGGTTGACAGGGGAAGAGAAGATGAGGGCCTGGGTTACTGACTGTTCTGTGTGCGATGCAGGCATCACGCAGAAGTGGACAGCTGTGGCATTACAACCCCTTTCTGGGACAGCCCTGAAAGATAGCAGCAAAGAGAAATTCTCACACCAGGAAGAACTTTAGGCAGTACACATTTTGGAAGGAGAAATGGCCAGATGTGAGATTGTTTACTTATTCCTCAGCTGTAACCAATGGATTGGCTGGGTGGTCAGGAAGTTGGAAAGACCATGACTAGAAAATTTGTAAGAAAGACATTTGGGGAAGAAGTATAGGGATAGGTCTCTTTGAATGGACAAAATATGTGAAGATACTGTGTCCTATATGAATTCCCATCAAAGGTTAACTTCAGGAGAGGAAGGCGCTCAATAATCAGATAGGATGACCTATTCTGTGGTCAGCCGGGCTCTTTTTCCAGCCATGCCTGTCATTGCCCAGTGAGCCCAGGAACAGAGTGGCCGTGGTAGTAAAGATGGAGATTATGCATGGGCTGGACAACATGGACTTGCACTCACCAAGGCTGACCTGCCTACATCTGTATCTGAGTAACCAGATCTGCCAACAGCAGAGAGCAACACAAAGCCACGTATACGGCACCGTTCCCTGGGGTGACCAGCTAGCAACCTGGTGTCAGGTCGGCTACATTGGACCACTTTCTCGTGGACAGTGCTCTGTATTTACTGGAAGAGATACTTACTCTGGATATAGATTTGCCCTTCTTACATGTAATGCTTCTGCCAAAACCACCATACATTCATTGACTTACAGAATGACTTATCCACCATTGAGGTATTCCACACCATATTGCTTCTGACCAAGGAACTCACTTCACAGCCAAAGAAAAGTGGCAGTGGCCCATAATCAGAGAATCCACTGTCTTCCCATGTCCCCCACCATCATAAGCAGCTGGCCTGATGTAAAGATAGATCAGCCTTTTGAAGACACAGTTAAAGTGCCAATTAAGTGATAGAAGCCTTGGGGGCTGGGCAGGCTTCTCTGAGAGAGGTGCATGCTTTGAACCAGCATCTAGGATATGGTGGTTTCTCCCCTAGCCAGGATTCCTGGATCCCCGAACCGAAGAGTGGAAAAGGAATGGTTCTACTCACTATCACCTGTAGCAATCCATTAGGAACAGTTTTGTTTCCTGTTCCCATTCTGCTGGTTTCAGATGGGGGCGGGGGGGACACCACAGCCAGGAGACACAACAAACATTTCATTGAACCAGAAGCTCAGACTCCCCTGGCCTCTTTGGGCTTCTGGTGCCATTAATTCAACCTTAGACAGGAACAACAGTGTTAGGAGGCACGATTGATCCTGATTTTTGAGAGGAAGTTGGATTGCTTCTTCACATTGGGGGTAACTAAGATTATGTCTGGCGTGCAGGAGAATCTTTAGGGTTCTTGGTGCTACCATGTCAATGGGAATCTACAACAACCCAGTCCAGGCAGAATGACGAAGGACACAGGGCCATCAGGAATGAAGGTGTGGGTCACTTCAGGAAGGGCCGAGACCTGCTGAGATCCTGCTGAGGGTGGAAGAAGTGCAGTGGATAGCAAAGGTTATTGTAGGTATAAATGCCAGTTAAAGGCTACGTGGCCAGTTGCAGAAATGAGAACTAAATTGACAGGAGTGGTTCTGTCAAAGTTTGTTAAGAATGCATTTGTGCAGATATTTGTGTTTTCTTTCCTTTATTTCTTTATCATGTAACATCAATTGAATAATTATCATATTTAAGTTTTGAGGTACTAAAAGAATGTTCCTCAAGGGACATTGCCACCTATTCTAAAATCTGTAAGGCATTTCCACTTGTATGTAGGATAATTATATCATGTTCAATGTAATTATAACCTGATTCAATATATAATATGTTTGTGGTTGTACATGGGATAGTTATATCAAGCTAGGCCTAATTATGAGCTGGATAGTGTTTCATTTGGGCATTAAGTATGGATGAGGAGATGTGATTGTGTGTCAGTTTGGCGAGGAGTAGACAGACTTGCGGTAGCTATTCTTGCTTGTCAATTTGACTACATCTGGAACTAAATAAAACCCGAGGAGCTGGGTGAGGGATTTTTCTTAATTAAATTATTTGAAATGTGAAGACCCACCGTTACTTCATATCTTTTGAGGTGGGAAGGTAGACCTTTAAACTGGGCCACGCCTTCTGGTGACAGCCTATATAAAGGACATGGAGGAGGGGAGTGGCTGCTTTTGCCTGCTTGCCCTCCCTCTCCATTTACTGATATTAGAGTCTAATTCTTTGAGGTTCTGAAATATACCAACGGCTAGCTGAAACATCCACCCTCATGCCTGGAACAACTACTGGTCTCTTGGACTATCTGTTGGGAGATAGCCATTGTTAGATATAGTCGTAAGCCATTCTAATGGCTTACATTATTCATTCTATCAGTACTGCTCCTCTAGAGAGCACTGACTAATATTTTACCCAAAAGCTTTTTGAAATCTATAGTTGTTACTATCTCTGTGCATTCTTGTAACCAAAAATGGTTAATTGTGACATTTATGAACTGCTGCCCCAGAGTTGTGAGCAGCTTCCTAACAGAACCTGCTCCCCATCCCTGAAGGAAGCAGATGCCAGCTCCGGTTTGCTCTGTGATGTCTCGTCAGCTTCCCTAGCATTGCTGACCAGCCAGCTCCCCTGTGTTGGTTAAGGTGCTGGTGGTGGGTGTTGCAGGGAAGGGGGCAAGAGGACGGGCTGAGCAGGTTCCCTGAAGTTATCTCACTGTCCGAGAGAACAAGGAGTAACTGGCGTGAGGTATCACACCCTTAGCCTGTACTCTGCTGGCAACATTTATTTTCTCAGACCTAACAAAGAAGCAGTACAAGCTGGCCCTGTGCTGCTGTTGTGTATGTGTCTCATACACTGATGAACCTGTGACCTTTTCTCTAGTGAAACCAACCTGAAGGTGAAGCAAGCCATCTCTGTTACCAGTGACATGGAGGATAACCTGGAGCTGCTGTCTGCCTTTAATGGTGAGCTTAGAGGACGGCTGCCCACCCAAAATTTCGCCAGCAGAGGACTAGCTAAACAGAGTATGGCACATCCCTACAGAATTCCATACAGTTCATTATAAGCAATATGCAAGTCGATTATCATTGACATGGAAAAACATATACAACATAATAGAGAAACAGATTATAAAAGCAGTATAATGCATGTAACATGGACAAGTTTTTGGGAAACATATTTGCATATATGTACAGGATAAAACACTTATAAAAATGTAACTCAAAAGGCTTTGAAGAGAGCTTTTTCTCTAAACAATGAGTAGATTATAATATTTCTCCAAAGCCTTTAATCCTAGCACTGGGGAGACAGAGGCCAGCAATCTCTAAGCTTAGGGCAGGTCTGGTCTGCATAGTGATTTCCAGGCTAGCCAGGGATATGTTAGTAAGACCCTGACTCAAAGAAAAAAGTTTTCCCACTTTAGCATGTTAAAAATATTTACAAAGGAGATCCAGCAAGATGGCTCAGTGAGTAAAGGCACTTGCCTCAAAGCCTGTGACCTGAGTTTGATCCCTGGGACCCACATGGTGGAGGGAGAGAATCAGCTCCCACATGTCCTCTGGCTCCACACATGCACCATTGCATATTCTCTCTGCTCATGCAAAGTAAACATTAAAAATGTTTACAGAGATATATTTACTAATCAGGGAAAATCAAACATTTCTATTTTGAAAAAAATAGTAAGTTCCCTTTACAGTAAGGAATATCTCCACTTCTTCCTCTTCACTGACTCTGATCCGGCAATTCTGATGCTGATGAACTACCTGTGGTGGTTTTCTCTGGATGGTCTGTGGCAGAACATTATTTTTGTTTTGATGCCCTATGTCCAGCTGGACTTTTGGCTACTTTGAGTTCTTTTTTTCTTCCACCCTTCTCCACCCTTACAAGCCCCTAATACTAGATAGGAAAGACAAACGATAGGGGAAAGAGGGCAGTGTTATCATTAGACTACTTCCTGCTGATTAGGGGAATCAAGTATCGTATTTCTCGAAGGTAACACACTAGGCATTTTGAGATCAGAGACCATTGGTGGCTTGGTCACAGTTTCTTTGCAAATGACCAAATTTCCTGCAGTTGGAGCACTGGGAGGCTTGACATTGAAGACCTCTAGCTTGACCTATGGTATTACCATGGTACCCATTAGAACCAATTTGGTCATATCCCTTTCCCATTCACCCACAAGCACTGCCCATGCCTTTCAAGGTCTAATAACCTTTTTACATTCAGTACTTGCATTTTCTTGTGCTAAGATTTCTATCAACACCTGTCTTGTGTCAGGGTCTGGTACAGTTTTGTTCACAGAATCAGTGAAGGCTTCTCCAGAGCCTTGTATAATCTTTGTAAACAAGGTGGACTTGTTTTCCAGGCCTCCTCAACTTTGTCCCTAGCTCTTAAAGCCGCTAAGCAGCATTGTGCCTTTCACCCAGCAACTGATCTTTTAATGTATTCATTCTCTCTGCTCTGTTTCACTGTTCAATACTTGTGGCTCCTTCTCTCCACCATGTTAACCATTGCAATTGCAGACCAGCATCTAGTAGAGCTGTCACCAATCCCTTCCAGTCTTGGGAAATAATTCTATTTTGAGTAGCCCAGTTACTTAGAATTTGTTTTACATAGGTGAGTGCATTCCATATGAAATCACGGCCTCTTTAAAATGCCGTAATCTATCACTTCCATAGGATGCCACCCGATACCATCATAACCTTGTTGAACATCTTTAGGAGGCGTGTGCTTTATGATTACTGGGGAAGCTGGTGGTGATTTTGTAACATCTGGAAGCATGATGGGTTCAAGATCAAAGCAGGATTTTTCATCAGCCCATCCTGCACTTTCAGCCTTTCTTTGACCCCGCTGCCCTGCAGTTCAGTTTCTTTCTCTCTTTCCTCCTGTGAAAAACTCCTTTTCTCTTTCTCAGTCACTGGGGTTGAGCCCCTTGGTTCTCCTTTTCCTGACGATCCTTGCCTCCCAATTTTTCCACCCACAATTTTTCCAGTTGCTCAGCCAACTCTGTAACCTTTTCAGAAAAGAGAGGGCAGAGTGACTTTTGTTTTCCTTTTTCCACCAAATTTTTGTTTCTCAGGTCCCTCCATTACCACTCCAAATTTTTCCAACTGCTCAGCCATTCTCCCAGCCATTTTTGAAACAGAATTTTGGAAAAAAGAAAAAAGACAAAAGAAAAAGAAAACCAGAGAATCCCCTCTGGGAGCAAAGTGGGTGCTACCCAGTGGTGTCAGTGACAATAAATTTTTTGCTGGCGTCTTGAAAAGAAATATCCATTTCTTAATCCTCTGCCATTTCTTCTACAGCATTTGAAGTCAAATTTCCCATTCTGCCTAGACCCACTGGTAGCGGACTTTTGGCTACTTTTTTCCACACTTCTCTACCGCTCTTATTCCACCCTTACAACTCCCCAACACTAGGTAGGAGAGAAAGAGTGATAGAGGAGAAAGGGAACGACTTCCTGATGATTAGGGGCATCAAGCTCCTTGGGGGCAAGTTTGATCTATGCCATCAGAATATCGAATTTCTTCCTGTTGTTGTTTCTTCTTTGTGCATGACTACTTAACAAACCTCAACCAACAACTCACCAAGAGCTCGCCAGCTCTTGGGGCCTAGCATTTATATACCCTCTGAAGAGTCCTCAGAATTCCAAGCATCACACACTTGCAGAAGCTATCTGCAGCTGGCAAAATGACACCCCTTCTAGAGCATGAGGCAAATCATAGTCAGCTCCTGTGGACAATCAGAAGCAGCCCCATATCCCACACCTGGGATTAAAATGGAAACATTCCTATTTGTGTGTGTGTGTGTGTGTGTGTGTGTGTGTGTGTGTGTGTGTTTAAAGAAACTAAACTTCTCATTAAAGCCTTGAAATATTTGTGTGCTTTTGTAACAGAATTTAGTGTGGGATAGAGAGCAGTTGAGAAAAGATAGAAGAAAAAATTGGAGTGTATTATTTTTTTAAAGAGGTTTTCTTTCTGCTTTTTTGCCAAGTGTCCTCCCAGGGTTACAGAGCTGATGCCCTTGCTACTATATTTTCTGCAGGAGAAATTAGATGTGAGCTTCCCAACAACAAGCTGGACAAGTTCTCTGGCACGCTGAGCTACCTGGGGGACACCTACTTCCTGGACCAGGAGAGGTTGCTGCTCCGAGGCTGCATCATCAGGAACACAGACTGGTGCTATGGTTTGGTCATTTACACCGGTGCGCTTCCCTTCAGCCATAGCCCAACATGACCTGTTAGAGCCTGCCCACTGCCCAGCCATGGGTAGCTAACACGCAGACTGTGGTTACAAGCTAGAACAGTGGTGTAGTGCTAGATTGATGGGGAGGTGAGACAGCTGGCTGGCTGGTATATGTAAGCAATTGAGGGGAAAGTGGCTTTGCTCCAGGCAGGGGACTTCCAACATAACAGCTTCACCTTTATTCAAGGAAGGTCGTGTGTTTCAACAACATAAGGCCATCATGCAGACAAAGGAGAGGGTGTTCATACAGAATGGAAGGTTATGTGGAGACCCCATCAGAAGGGAGTATAGACAGTGCCCGTTACATAATATAAACTATCACGTGGAGACTTCATATAAAAGAAAAGCACTACATTAGTGGCTCATCTCGAGATGTCATTTAAGTCACAACCACAATATGTAGTGAGAGGTTTTCTTGGTTCATGGCATGATTGGGAAGGAGAGCCACCGTGACCCTCTGTACCCAAGTAGCAGTAGGCATTGTTAACTTTTTGCTCTTCTCTCCCTGGAGAGAAACAATTTAAAAGGAGGAAAGACTGACTTGTCACTCAGTTTCAGTGGTGTTAGTTCAAGCTTGCTTGACCCTGTAGCTTTGGACCTGCAGCAAGGGCAACCATCACAGTGGGAATTTGTGATGGGGCAAAGCTGCTCTTGTCATGGTGGCTGAGAAGCAGAAAAGAGAGAGGAGTGGTCCTTGGAGAAATGCCCCTAAGAACGTAACTTTCCTCAACTAAATTCCATGCCTAGTTTCTACTACCCACAAAAACGCCACCTGCGGGAGACAAGGTTTCAAACAATAAACTTTTAGGAGATATTTAACAAGTCCATAACCACAGTAGAAAGATTTTTTATCACTAAACTCGGATTTTTGGAGGTCTCTTCAGAGCACCCACTCTTAAAACATGGGGCTCCTAGTTCTCCTTTTATGGAAACTAAGAAGGCCCCCACCTTCTGGAGAAGCTTAAGAGTCCAGGGAAGCCTGGCAGAACTTGGTTTCTTGGTTCTTGGTGTGAAGTGGCAGCTTCTAAGATGCTGACATCAAATGATGTCAAGTAGGTTTACTTTCCTCACTGTATGTCAGCAGTTACCCACACATAGTAAAACCATTCCTACCAAGTCCATTTGTTTGGCTGAAGTTTTTTCCCAAAGCAATAGTATTGCCAGCATGACTTAGTTTTCTTCTGATTCTTGGTTTGTTGACAATAGTGATGAACTTTGGGGAGGTCCATGTAGGGTCTCATTCCAGAGAGCATCAGGAAGCCTCAGTGCAGACTTGGAGTCGCTGTTCCCAGTGTGCAGTCCTCAAGTCCTTGGAAGCCTGTGGGAATCAACTCAGCCTTTCTAAGGATTCTGGAAGATGTGGTCCTCGTAGCTGCCACACTCTGCCTTGAACATCTCAAAACCCAGACCTGGAAAGGAATGCCTCCTGGGACGGAATGCTATAGCTTCTGCTGTCCATTCCCAGTGTCTTCTCATAGTGCCAGAGAAACCCAGCTACCCCACATGGACACAGGAATAGCACTCCTCCGTTAGAACACATGCAAAAATAGTAGGCCAGAGAAATGGCTACTTACAGTTTCTTTCTAACCCTCTTACTAGGATTTCCTCAGACCTCTGGCTAGTCTCTAGTGGTTTGCAGCTCAGCTCTGTGGCCGTTCCAGACCCCTTTGCTCAGTGCGCTGCCACAGAGGAACACGCAACCTGTGTGTCTCAGCCACAGAACAGTCTCAATGCCCCGAGTTCTACCATAGCAAGAAAATCACTGCTGCTTCCTTTCTTCCATTCTCAGGAATTTGGGATATAGCTGACTCAGCAATAGGTTTCCTCAAAAGAAAACAAATATTTCTTTTATCAGAAAATTGCTTCCCTAAGCCAAATAAATAAGGGACACTTGCATGACTCTTGTTCTCATTTAACTCATGGGAAAATCAAGACAGGTTAAGGTGCTGGTGAGGGTGTGGACAATTCATAAGGAAACAACGTGCTTCTTTCTAGGCTGTTGATTGGATTTGCTTAAGAGGTTAAAATAACTGCACATAAGGTATATGTTCGCACAGTTTCTAGCTATCACTGAGTATATCCAGTGATTCTAAGGTCCGGGTTTCCCCCTGTTTTGCTTAGGGCCAGACACCAAGTTAATGCAGAACAGTGGACAGTCCACCTTCAAACGAACACACGTAGACCATCTCATGAACGTCCTTGTGCTCTGGGTAAGTTAGACACGCAACGCTCTTTCTCTCTGTACATACACATTCAAGCAGTAGCCGGCCTTTCCAAACCAGAATGTAGTTGTTTGAGAGCTACAAGTTTCACAACCCAACAAGCTAAGGTGTGAGCCAGGAAAGAGCAGATCGGTGCACACGGCCTCTCGGTTACTCCCATGCAAAATAAGGACAGTTCAGAAACCAAGTGGCGCCAGAGCTGATCAGGGAAGTAGAAGTCCTTTTAGAAATAGAAATTCTTTTTCATGTCAGATTTGATCACGACCTTTAGTAACACATCACATAGACTAATTGAATGCCTTATTTAAACCGATCATTTTAAGGCTGTATTCTTTAAAGGTGTCTTCAGACAGAGGCAGGAGAAGCTCTGGCCTTATCCAAGTTTCTGCTTCAAAGAGAGCAGCTTCTCATTATGCTGCTTTATAATATTTCAATTGGAACAATAGGGGGACTCTGCTGTCTGGAACCCGAAAATCACCAACAAAGGGGATAATGAGAGAGCGAGAAGGTTTTATCGGTTGGTTGGTTGGTTGGTTGGTTGGTTGGTTGGTTGGTTTGGTTTTTTTTTTTTTAAGACAGGGTTTCTCTGTGTAGCCCTGGCTGTCCTGGACTCACCCACTCTGTAGACCAGGCTGGCTTTGATCTCAGAGATCTGCCTGTCTCCAAAGTACTGGGATTAATGGTGTGCACTGCCACCATCCAGCAGAAAAGAGATTTTGTTTTAGTTTTTAAATTTACATACAATTTTTTATATTATTTTCCTTCCCTAACCTCCTCTCAGACTCTACCTACTCAACTCCATGTTCTTCCCAGTCTTTCAAAAAATAAAAATAAAGCAAAAGTAAAATGCAAAGATCACAACCAACTAAAAAGATTAAGAGAAAAATATTCAAAAAATCCCCACAAAAACTACCTGGAGTCCACCCTGTGCTGCCCGGCTCTCTGGGCACAGGTCCTGCCCTGGTGTGTGGCTGATACACTAGGGCTAGTCCACAGGAGAAACCTGATTTTCCCTTTTGCCAGGAAGCATCAACTGTAAATAGCTTCTTGGGTAGGGGTGGGACATTGTGTTCACTTTCCGTTTTCTGTGCTGGGATTTTGTCTGGTTTGAACTTGTGCATGTCTTTTGTGTGCTGTCACAGTCTGTGAGTGTGTATCATATCTGTTGTGTCTGGATGACAGTATTTCCTTGGAGTCATCTACCATCTCTGGCTCTTGCAATCTTTCTGCCTCCTCTTCTGCATAGATCCTTGAGCCTTGAGGTGAGCAGTCTGACAGAAATATCCCTCTTAGGGATGAATGCCCCAAAGCCTCTCAATTTCTGAGCTTGGTCCAGTTGTGTGTCGCTTGAGTTAATTCTCATCAACTGAAAGGAGCTTTTAGGAAGGATGAGTGATGTGCATATCTATAGAAATAGCAATGTGTGATTAGAAATCATTATAATACTGTGTTCCTTCAGCAGAATAGAAGTAGGTTTACCCTTAGGGACCATCAGCTGTCTCATTCTGGGCCCGTGCTGCGTTAGCAGTGTCAGATATGGGCTCTCTCTCATGGTCTGGGCCTTAAATCCATTTTTAAAGTGGTTGGTCACTCCCATCACAGCTGTGTCATCTTGCACCAATGTGTCGTACAGGCAGGCTGCTGCTGTAGGTCGCAGGGTAGTTAGCTAGGTAATAGTGATGACTGCCTTTCTCCTCTGCTACCTTCCAGCACCATGAATGCTAGTCAGTAGAGGTTAAGCTTCTAATTAATTTATTTTTAATTTCATATGTGTTGGTGTTTTGTAGATATGTCTGTGTAAGGGTGTCAGATTCCCTAGAACTGGAGTTATAGACAGTTGTGAGCTGCTATGTGGGTGCTAGGACTTGAGCCTGGCTCCTCTGGAAGAGTAGCCAGGGCTCTTAACCTCTGATCCATGAGGTGAAACTTCTAGTTGGGCACCAGCTCGATTTCTTCATGTTTGATGACATTGTGGTAAGGTAAGCAATAGGGCCTTACCACCAGATTGAGGAGGGTAACCGGGAGCCTTGACAATAGCTTGTGGTGTTGGGGGTCATCTATGGGCCCCTTTGGCCAATAATTCAGCAAGATGTAACCCATTCTTGGCACTATAAGATATATAGTTGGGGTATTGTCTCCATCATTTTATAGTGACTCTTCTGAAATTCCTTTCATATAGGTATCTGGTTTTTTAAACTTTTTTTTAAGATTTATTTATTTTATGTATATGAGTGTTCCATTTGCATTTACACCTGCCAGAAGAGGGAATCAGTTCACATTATAGATGGTTGTGAGCCACCATGTGGTCACCGGGAATTGAACTCATGACCTTTGGAAGAGCAGACAGTGCTCTTAACTGCTGAGCCGTCGTCTCTCCAGCCCTAGGTATGTGTTTTAGGAAGCTCCTGTAGTAGGTCTCTACATGTCTTTTAGAAAGCTGTTAATAATTGGTCATCTCTCCCATATCCGCTCCTTTACCCTGATCTCCTTTACCCCTCTCCACCCTCCTGTTCTAGTTCTCCCCTTTGTTTCTTATAACATTATATTCCGTTTCCCCTCCCTTAGACGATCCCATTCTCCCCTGCTCCCTTACTAGCCACTGCCTAACCACTGTAGATACTCTTATTGAAACACACATTTAAAGCCAACATCCATATATAAGGAAAATGCATGTAATATTTATCTCTTGGGGCCTGGGTGTCCTCACTCAGAATGATTGTTTCTAATTTAATCCATTTGCCTGCAGACTCTGTCTATCATTTTTCTTACTAGCTGAGTACTATTTCATTGTGTAAATTTACCATATTTTCATTATCTATTCATTAGTTGATAGACATCTAAAATGTTTCCAATTCTCATTATTATAAATAGAGCATCAATAAACATGTATGGAAAAGTATTTCTACAGTAAGACATAGAGTTCTTTTGCTATATCCCAAGAGTGGTATAGCTAGATCTTGTGGTAGGGAAATTTTTGTCTTTTTCAGGAACCTCCACACTGATTTCATAGGGCCTGGACACTTTCCCTGAATCCTTGCAAGCATGCGCTGTAGGTTTTTAAATTATCATTATTATTTTTTTAATTTATTTTGGCCATTCTTATTGGGGTAAAATGAAATCTCAAAGTAGTTTTAGTTTGCATTTTCCTGATGGCTAAGAGTGTTCAACATTCTTTTAAGTGATTCTCAGCTATTTGTGTTTAATCTTTCAAGAACTGTTTAGTCCTGTAGCCCATTTTTTAACTGGGTTTTCTGTTTTCTTTCTGTTCAGTTGAGGTTTTTCGCTTGTTGTTTGGTTTGATTTTGTTGTTGTTTTTCTTTACATATTCTAGATACTAATCTTTGGTCAGGTGTATAATTAGAAGAGTTCTTTTGCATGTTGTAGGCTTTTGCTTTGTTTGAATGATGACTGACATTTTTTTTTTTTCTGTACAAAGGCTGTTCAGTTTCATGAGTTCCCATTTACTATTGTTGATTATAGTGCCTGTGCTGTGTTCTATTCAGGAAGTCTTTTTCAGTGCCAATGATTTCAAGCCTATTTCCCACTTTCTCTTTTATCAGGTTCAGGGTATCTTGTTGTATGTTGAGTTCTTTGATCAGCTTGGAGTTGAGGGCTTTTTGCAGAGTGATAGATAAGGCTCAATTTTCATTCTTATATTCTTTTATCCAGTTTGACCAGCACCGTGTTTTGAAGATACTGTCTTTTCTTTAGTGTGTATTTTTGGCTTCTTTGTTAAAATTCAGTTGTCAATAGCTTTCTGGAATTATATTTGAGTCTTCAATTTGATTTCATCAATCAAGATGTCTGTTTGTATGCTATATTTTAATTACTAGAGTGCTGAAATACAACTTGAGATGAGGGCTGGTGTTGCCTCCAGCAGTTCTATTATTATTCATGATCATTTTAGTTACACTGGTTTGTGTATGTACATGTTTCCATATGGTTTTAAAGATTTTTTTCAGTTTCTATGAAGAATTGTGTTGGAATTTTGATGGGGATCACATTGAATTTGTAGATTACTTTTAGTAGGATGGCCATTTTCTTTTCTATTGAAAATAGATTTCTTCTCTCATCCCAACCACAGTTTCCCTTCCTCCATTCCTATCTCTCCCCACTCCCCCTCCTCCAGATATATTCCATCTCAGAGGGAGAGAAAAGAGCGGGCCTCCAATAGACAACACCCAAACAGGGCAAAACAAGATACAGTAAGACAGGGATAAACTCCTCATATCAAGGGTGGACAAGGCAACCCAATAGGAGGAAAAGGGTCTCAAGAGCAGGGGAAAGGGTCAGAGATACACCTGCTCCTGCTGTTAGGAGTCTCACAGAAACACCAAGCTAACAGCCATCACAGATACAGAGGACCCGGTGCAGACCCACAAGGGGCCAGGCTTGCTGCTTCAGTGTCTGTGAGCCCCCATGAGCCTGCCTAGTGGATTCTGTGGGCCATGTTCTCCTGGGGTCCTCCATCCCCTCTGACTCCCATAGACTTTACTCCTTGGTGGGCTTCCTTGATCTAAGGGGAGAGACCTGATGAAGACCTCCAATTTAGAGCCTCTGTGTGCATAATGTCTGGCTGCAGTCTCGGTACCTTCTCCTCTCTGCTGGCAACTGGACGAGGCAGCATATCATTGGGAATCATTTCATTGACTTTTTTGACAGTCATATTTGGTTCTACCATAGGGCTCTGAGATATCCAGCCTCCAGTTCCTGGTCCTCTGGGCAGTGTAGGACTTGGGCTCCCATGGCATGGGCCTCAAGTTAAACCAGACAAGTTCTGTGCCACCATTGTGCCAGCACATCTTGCAAACAGGACAGATTGTAGGAGTCTCACAGAAACACCAAACTAACAGCCATAACATATATGCGAGGACCTGGCACAGACCAGGCATGCAGATGCGGGGATCAAACCTAGGTCCCTAAAAGACCAACAAGTTCTCTCAGCCCATTGAGACATCTCTCCAGGCCCAGAAAAAGGTATCCTAAGAGAGGGTAGAAAGAGAAGATGATAGGAATACATGTGATATGGAAGCTAAACGGGGGCTGTCTATAGGAAAGGAAGGGAAGCAGCCAGAGGAGGGCGAGGGGAGGGGTGAGGGAGGGAGTAAGGAGGAGGCAGATTGGAACAGGTCAGTGGTGCGTGTATGTGGACATGCCACAGTGAACTGCATTACTGTGTATGTAAATTTAAAGTGTTTTATATCATGAAATAAAACCAATAAGATCTAAATATAATATATAATGATCACTTTGATAGTAGAAGCTTAAATAATTTGTGACTAGTAATAATTTGTGTCCATTCTGGCCAACACAGATTACTTTTGTTCTTGTTGGTGGAAATTAACCTCATTATTTAAGTAACTTTTGTGTATAACTGAGCTGTTCTGGTAATATCTACACTTAGTTCCTTAACTTTTCATCTTCTGTTGTTATACCCTGAAGTGGCAATAAGAAAATCACAATGCCTTTTCAACGCAGTACATACAGATTGGAAGACTAGGAAGGCTGTTGAGCTTTGAGAGCAGAGTCAAGCATCCAGCATCTCTTTTTCTACTGCTGAGTACTGAGCCTTCGCAGTTAGCAGAGTTCCTTATCCTGGTTTTTTAATGAAGCAGATTATCGCAGTCAAGAGTTAAGGAAAGTGATGTAAGCAGATGCTTTCAACAGCATCAGGGGCTTGTGATGTTACCAGTAAGCTAGCTCATTGGTCAAAGGTCATCTTCAATAGGACATTTCCTGTCAACCTAGACAGACTCAACAGTTTGTGTCTGTCTGAAGGGCAGTAGAATTTGATACTTGCCATCTGTGGTGGGATTTTTACCTTTTACAGTATTCACATTATTAATTACAGCTTGTTATACATATAACTGGTGAAAAATCAAGAAATATACTAATTTAAACAGAATTCTGGTGACTATTATAGAATTCCACAGGAAAAAATAGCAGAAGCAAGTGCGTGACCCCTCAGGTGGTGTTACTGCATATTGTGGTTTGTGTGTGTGGCGTTCCTGGATGGGCACTTTGTGCCCTGCTGGTGACTTTGGGGACATTTGGAACCTTTACAAGGTGGGCTGTGCTTGGAGGAAATGACTCCCTATGGGCCAGCCTTGAGGGTTACAGCCCAGCTCCACTTCTGGTTCTAGTCTCAGCTTCCTAGCCTGCCAAAATGTGAGTAATCTGACATACAGTCCCATCACCATAGGACCACGCACCACACGCCTCCCCACTCACAGTGGACTGCATCCCTAAGGTAGCAGAGTAAGTCCTTCCTTAAGGTAGTCTTTTCAAGTGTTTTCTCTCCTCAACAAGAAGCAATGTGCTGAGAATCCAATGTGTGTCTGATGTGTGCCGGATGCTGTGAGAATCACAAAAGTCTGTAAGAAGTGTTTAAGTCCTTTGAGGAGGAATCCATGTCAACATCCACTACTTGTTGGAAGTTTTATTTGACAGTCGCTTCTGGGGCTAAGGAGATTGCTCAGCCAGTAGAGCGCTTGCCTTGAAAACAGGAGTACCTGAGTCTGAGCCCCAGAACTCACATATAAATACAAGAAAAAAAATGTCAGGTGTGATGGCATGCCCTTGTAATGTCAGCGCTTGGGTGGTAGAGACAGGAGGGTCTTCGACACTTGCTGGCCAGCCAGGTTAGTCTAACTAGTGAACTCCAAGCCGGTGAGATCTGTTATCAAAGGAGTTGGAATGTATTCCTAAGGAAAACATCCTCGTGCTTACATGCACAGGTAAACACATGTGTAAAAGCATGCCCATACACAATAACATTGACATATATACATATACACATGTATTTTTAAAATAGTCCCATCTGTCCAGTTACTCAAAACTTTTCAACATCCTGGTTCTTTTTATTATACTTTAATATCTTTCTGTGAAGAAAAATTTAAAAGCATGTCAAGGCCTGTTTTAAGATTGCACATTGGCATGTATGTGTGTAAAAAATAAATGTAGATATGGGACAGGGCTGGAAAGATGGCTCAGCAATTAAGAGTAGTTGCTGTTTTTCTCATGGACTCATACTCAGTTCCCAGCACTCACATCAGGCAGCTCACAACTGCTCGTAACTCCAGCTTCAGGGGATTTGATGCCCTCTTTTGGCCTCCACAGGCATATATGTACACACACACACACACACACACACACACACACAAATAAGGCTTTTTCAAAAAGTTATGAAATTATTTAGAAGAACAAAGGGGACAAATGGGAGAGAGGGAAGAAATCTTGGTAGCAGAAACAGGGCAGAGAAATATGTTTAATATATAGCATTTACATGTATGCAAATTTTAAACTGTATAAATAAATTTAGTATTAAAGGGCTACGTATCAACCAAATGTGAAAAAATTATGAAATTAAAAATATTGTAGACAAAGAGTTGAGAACAGCTTGAGCTCATAGTAAATTTTACATCACTAGAGCTGCATGGCAAGACCATGTCTCAAATGGAGCAGGGTATAGGAAAGAAGGAAGAGAATTATGTAAGAGAAAAGGAAGAAAGGGAGAAAGAGAGATTAAAAAAGAGAAGATTCTCAGTTTTCAGAGATGTGTCAGGAATCAGAATAGCATTGACTGCCTCAGCAGTAGCAGAACCATGTCAGAGATAGCTTGTCAGTGATAGTCTGTCTAAAATAGCCTGTCTAAAACAGTCTGTCTACAATAGTCTGTCTACAGTAGTCTGTCAACAACAGTCTGTCTACAGTAGTCTGTCAACAACAGTCTGTCTACAATAGTCTCTCTGCAGTAGTCTGTCTACAATAGCCTGTCTAAAACTGTCTGTCTACAATAGCCTGTCTACAGTAGTCTATCTACAACAGCCTCTCTGCAGTAGTCTGTCTACAGTAGTCTATCTACAACAGCCTCTCTGCAGTAGTCTGTGTAAAAGAGTTTTTCTACAAAAGTCTGTCGACAACAGTCTGTCTACAATAGTCTATCTGCAGTAGTCTTGTCTACAATAGTTTCCAGTAGTCTGTCTTCAATAGTCTACAGTAATCTGTATACAGTAGTCTGTCTGCAATAGTCTGTCTACAACAGTCTGTCTACCATAGTCTGTCTGCAGTAGGCTGTCTACAGAAGAACAAAGGGGACAAATGGGAGAGAGGTAAGAAATCTCCAACTGTCTGTCTACAATAGTCTGTCTACAGTAGTCTGTCTGCAGTGGTCTCTCTACAATACTCTGTCTACAATAGTATCTGTCTGTAGTAATATATCTACAGTAGTCAGTCTACAGTAGTCTGTCTGCAGTGGTCTGTCTCCAACAGCCTTACTATAATAGTCTGTCTGCAACACTCTGTCTACAGTAGTCCGTTTACAATAGTCTGTCTACAGCTGTCTGTCTACACTACTCTATCTACACTAGTCTATCTACAATAGTCTGTCTGCAGTAGTCTCTCTGCAGTAGTCTGTCTGCAGAAGTCTGTCTACAATAGTCTGTCCAAAATAGGCTTCCACAATAGGCTGTCTACATTCATATGTCTACAAACTGTCTCCTTACAGTAATCTGTCTACAATAGTTTGTGTGCAGGAGTCTGTCTACAACAGTCTGTCTACAATAGGCTGTCTACAGTAGTCTGTGTACAATAGTTTGTCTACAATATTCTGTCAAATATAGTCTGTCTACAAACAATTTATCAACAATAGTCTGTATATGATAGTCTGTCTACAAAAGTATGTCACGAATCTACTTGCAGCCTCTAATCAGATAAAAAATGAAATAGAAATACAAAGTTTGGATTCTGGAGAGATGGCTGCTCTTCCAGAGGACCCAATTTCAATTCCCAGCACCCACAAAACCGCTCACAACCATTAGTAACTTCTGTTCCAAGAAAGCTTATGATCTCTTCTGGCCTCTACAGGAAGCAGACATATATAGTACATATATATGTGGAGTCCAAATACCTATACATATAAGATAAACATTTTCAAATGAAGTGTAAAGAAGTATCTTTATATATTTCTTTCTATAATGGAAATGTATATCAAATTATTTTAGAGGTAGGGGCTACCTGTCAACAGGTCAAAGTTGAGTTTCCCTTTCACTTCAGTCAGAGTGGTTATCATCATGAAAACAAAAAATAGCAGGGCCACCAGGAAAAATTTCTTATACTCTATTGGTAATTAGTACAAACATGAAAAATCAATAAAAACTAGAAGTGAAATTCCCACTTGCCGCAGCTGCAGCAAACCTGGATATAAACCTGAAGGAATCGAAATCATCACTTAGCAACCAGTGCACCGAGACTGTGATTCTTTCCATCTACTGCCCTGAGGAGCTAGCTGCAGGTCCATGGGCCCCTACCTTCCAACCTTACCAAATTCTGAATTGTTTACATGGCTGCCATTTTCCTTACTCTTGCTATCAGTTTTCCCATTGTCCTCCCTCCAACTGCTGCCAAAGCCACTCAATTCAGGGACAGCCCCTCTCCCCAACATCAGTACTGGAGTGATTAAGACTGGAATCTGGCACTATTTGGAACCTGTTTCTCTAATTCAGTATCTAAGTGACTTGAAGAAGAATATCAAGTTCCTGTCAGTCAGGAGTTTTCATCAATACTAAACATGTGAAGCAGTTCTCTTAGTACTTAGGGTGTTCTGATCGTTAATACCTCCCTTCAGAGTCACACAGACAGCTCTTGTAGGACTTTCTTCTTTGTCCTAGTACTACCTTAGCACCTCCCTCTCTCCAAGGAGAAAACACTTATTAGAGCTGAGACTCCAGAAGGTAGGATGGAGTCCATCCATATTTTGCTTTTTTTGTTTTGTTTTCTAAACAGATTTTCCTGGTTTTGGGCACAATGTGCTTTTTGCTATCCATTGGACATGGCATTTGGAAGAGCAACAAAAGCTACTTTTTCCAGGCATTTCTCCCATGGGAACATGTTATTGCCTCACCAGCTACAAGTCCTATCCTCGTTTTCTGGTCCTACTTCATAGTCCTCAACACCATGGTACCCATCTCCCTCTATGTCAGGTGGGTATCTCTGATCCTTAGTGTTCGGGGAAGGGCATGGCTTTATAGTCCCTGCTTTAATAATCAGCTGGAGGATGTTTTAGAAAGCATGTGTTATGTGCTTTCTTTTTTTAAAGAGCTTGCTATGTCACCCAGATGACTTCAAACTTCAGATCCCCTGCCTCAGCTTCAGTACTGGGATTACAGGCATGTCCCACCATTCCTAGCTTACTATGTATTCTGTAACTCTTTTCACAGGCTTGGTATATAAAAAAAAAAGTCGTTGGAGTGTGTTGTAACAGTCCCTGTTCTACCTCTAATCTTACTAATTTGAGGTGGTTTTTTTTTTCTTTGATTAGTATGAGTAGATATTTGTAAATTATATTTATATTTTAGAGAACTGATGTGTGTCCTCTTTTTCAAGTCTGCTAAAACCTGACCTGTAGTCAGGTCTCCCAATCCAGAAAGTATTCTCCATAACAGACTTACCTTATTTTAAAATGTTTCTGATGACCTAGTATGAGCCAAGCCCTTTACTAGGTGATAGGATTAGAAACCTGAGAATAAGACATCATTTTCTCTAAAGAAGCTTGCTTGTAGCTTTGGAAACCAATTGCTAATTGTGGTACAATACAAAAATTCTATAATCAAAACATGCATGCATATTATAAATGCTCTAAGGAGCAATAGATGAGCTCTGCCCAGGGAAGCCTATGGCAGTGTGAGGGAAGTGAGCCTCAGACTGGGTTTGAAAAGAAGTGAGGAAATGCACTTCAAGTGGCAGGTCTGCAGACACACGGTGTGGAGACTTTCTCAGTGAGACCAACGTGTTAGATCCCAAAGAACATCAATTACAAAAGCATTTGGATTTTATCCTATAAGCAACAAAGAAATAACGTGACTTATTAATATAATTACATGTAACTATATATATTAATTATTTAACATAAATATAATTGGCATATTAATTATATGATATTTTGTTCATATATTATATTATAATAAACCCTTCCTGGACATGACATAATCCCTCTGGCTCTAAATACTTTTAAAAGAACTGAAAGTGAGAACTGAAGAGATGGCTCAGTGGTTAAAAGCACTTGTTGCTCATGTAAAGGACCTACGTTTGGTTCCTGGCACCGACATGGTAGCTCACAAAGATTTGTGTTTCCAGTTTCAGAGGATATGGTGTCCTCTTCTGGCCTGCAAGGGCAACAGGCAACATGGTGCACATACATACATTCATTCAGGCAAAACACTAATATACAATACATTTTTTAAAAAAAATATTTTTTAGAATATAAATCTAAAACTAAACTACAGCAAAAAGTAGACAAGAAAGTGGAAGAAAGGGAGAATGAGACATCAAGACCGAGCTGGGTTGCAAGGTTGATTTAACATACAAATAACAATACATGTAACACAGAGTGGAAACAGACGTGACAGAAATCACACAGTCATCTCAGTAGGTGCAGACAAGACTGGAGGTACTGTTGTACACCAGGACCCAAGATGCTGCTCCCCAAGTAGGAGCCTGTACTCTAGCCACCTTCCAGTACCTTTGACCAGAGGAGTATGACTTACATGGGAGTATCTCCTTCTGTACAGTGACCCCATCACTGAGAGCACGTTGAAGATCGGGCCTTGAGTCACTGGACAAGATCAGGAAATAGCTGTCCTAGTTTCAGACCCACTCCCAAGGACTCACTTTTAGGACCTGTGTTGGGAAATGGGCCCCTCATCTTCTGGTGTTATGTTTTCAAACAAGACAGGGGAGGAAAGGGAAGATTTATCCAGGAAGGAAGATTGGCCTGAACTTTTAACCTCACCTGTTAAGTCTGCTGTATTCTTGCGTAATTAAATCTTTTATTTGTCACTGAACAAAGAGGGAAAAAAGAGGTTTAACATCCCTTCATGATAAAAATCCCTAAAGAAAATAGGGAAAGAAGGAAAATATCTCAACATGATAAAAGCTGTATGTGACAAAATTACAGTAAGTGAGAAACACTGGCAGCACTTCCTCTAAAGTGGAGAGTGAACAAGGAGGCCTGCTCTCTCTACTGTTTTTTTTTTTTTTTTGCATGTGAATGTGTATATGGTGTGAATGCATGTGTATGAATGCATGTTTACATGAATGTGTGGGGGTTCTTTTGCACATGTGTGTGGAAAACAAAACTTAGGTACTAAAAGTCTTCCTCAGTCATTTTCCAGTTTATTCATTTCAATGGGTCTCTTGTTGAGCACCTTTAGCAAATCCAGAAATCACTGGCATGGGCTAGTCTCGCTAGCCTGCTTACTCTGGGCTCACGTGTCTCCACCGTTCAAATACTAGCATTACAAGCCGCCACAGCCCTCAGCTCCGGTTCTTGTGATTGCAGCAAATGTCATGTCACTGGCATCCTAGCCTTCACTTCTGTGCAGTGCAGCCTTGAAGTCTTAGCTAGAGCAAGGACACAGTAAAGAGAAATCAAAGAAAGACAATTAGAAAAAGCTACACGATTCTTATTTTCAGATGACACGATTGTATACTGTAAAGACACTAAAGACTTCATAAGAAAAGTCTTATATCTAATTAAAAAAAAACACTTATTAAAGTACCAAGATTCAAAACCAGCACACAACAATTAGAAGCTTTTCTATAGACTGAGAATAAAAATTTTTAAGTAAGGAATTGGGGGAGGGGTTCTCATTCATAGTAGCTCCAAAAAATAAAATACCTAAAAATTAAACCCACTTAAGGAAGAAGAACTGCTACAATAAAAACTTCTTAATGAAGCTGAAGGAGACACTAGAAGATGGAACATCCTCCCCTGCTCATGGATCAGCAGAATTAATATTGTGAAATTGTCAGTGGTACCAAGAACAATTTAACAGATTAAAACACATCCCATCAAAATTCCAAGGACATTCTTTAAGGGGGAAATCCTAAAATTCATGTGGAAGTACAAGAGACTTTGAATAGGCAAACCATCCTAAATAGGATGAAAAAAAATCTGGAGGTTACCCCATACCTGACCTTATACTACAGAGCTACAGTAACAAAAACAGCATGGCACACACACATGGCGACCAGGGCAATACGACAGAAGACCTAAAATCAGTCCCCACAACTACAGCCACCCAGTCTTTAATAAATGTGTCAAAAGCATACATTGGAGAAATGGCAGCCTTTTCAAAACTAGGGAAGTTATGGCGGTAAACAAAATAAGCCTCAGACAGTTACTGTGTGTTTTCTCTCATTTGTGGAACCTAGATTTAAATTTGTCTATGTCTGTGTGTATGTATGGGGGCTTTAAGGGAGGAGGCAACGAAGAGTGTAAATTTGACATGAAATCAGAAGGACAGCTCAAGGGTAGTACAGGATTAGTGAGAGGACAGGGCAGGGGGTGAATAAGAACAAAATGTTATGAAAATGCCACATTGAAGTCCATTATTTTGTATACTTACTGAGTCAGGGTCTCATTGTGTAGCCCTGGCTAGCCTGGAACTCAATATGGTAGACCAAGCTAACATCATCCTCACAGAGATCCGCCTGCCTCTGCTTCCTGAGTGCTGGGATTAAAAGTATGTGCCACCACGCCTGGGTATATGCTCTTATGAAACTGATATGCTGATGTGCATGAGAACTGCTGATGTAGAGAGAGGTCACCTGGAGAGACCTGAAACAAAGAACATCTGAATGCTGCAAGTTTCTCTCTCTTTCTAACATGACCATAGCAATCTTTATAATTACACCAGCAGTAGCTTTTGTCAGTTAACTGTTACTCCAAAGGTACTTCCTGGACATAGTGCAGAAGATGAGGGAAGCAAGGTGTGCCTCAGAGCTTGCTTAATGAGCTGTGTCAGGTCGTGGTGAGGATGCCATGTGTCACAGGACTGAAGGGCAGAGTTGTGATGGTCTGGGCCATGTGGGAAAGTCCTGTGGAGGGCAGATACCTGGGGAAGACGCTCTTTCCACATCCAGACCCTCATCTATCATGGACCCATAAAAAGGAAACCAAAATAATATACTTTTTGTCCTACTCTGACTAGGACCCTCTTTTCTTACTTTTTCCTTAGTGTTGAAATAATAAGACTGGGCAACAGTTACTATATCAACTGGGATCGGCAGATGTTTTATGTGCCAAGGAACACCCCGGCACAAGCTCACACTACCACTCTTAATGAGGAACTCGGCCAGGTTCAGTATGTGTTCTCTGACAAAACGGGAACCCTGACCGAGAATGTGATGACTTTCAGCAAGTGCTCTATCAACGGGAAAACCTATGGTACGTGCCCTTTCCCGCCCTCCCCGAGCCTGAGAGAGGGCGCGGCAGATGCCATTCAGATCTAACCGCCTAAGAGCCTCTGAAATGTCACCTCCCTCCCATTCTCCTGACCCTTAGTGAGCCACGGTAGCTTCCCCAGGGAGGAGGACACCAATTGGTGTCCAGTGCCAAGTAGCAAGCCCTAAAAACATGCACATAAGTAATATCGTATGAACTCAGCCGGTTATACTCATGTGTATGTACAAACGCAGATATGCATACAGTAGCGGTTAATGAAAAAAGAGGGCATGAATTTGAAGGAAAATGGGGAGGGTTCCAAGGAAATGTCTGGAGGAAAGAAAGAGAATGGAGAAATAATGTAATTATAATCTTAAAAAAAAACAGTTTTAACAGAAACACATTTATTTAATACTTAGTAGGTGAAATCCATTGTTTCCCACTTTAAGAAGACCAAGAGTCACTGTTCTCAAGGGGTTCCAATGTCTTGAAGAAAAATAATATGTTTGGTTATTTATGATACAATATCAGATGGATGTTGGTAAAGGGGTAAGAATTTCTCATTGAGAAAGAGTTTTTAGTCTATTATAGACTAACCACAGTGAACAGTAATGTCTTGTATACTTCAAGCTCCAATGTCTGATAAGAGACATTGACTAAAAACAAAACAAGAGCAAAAAAAGAAAAGAAAAGAAAAGTAAAACAAAACACACACACCAAGTAAGTGAAGAAAGAAAATAAATTAAACTTATGGCTGGTGTGCCCTAAGGAATGACATGAAGGCTCAGCCTCCACACACACACATGTGCATACATACACTAAAAATTAATAAAATAACCCAGCAATCTCCTTCCTAGATATCCTCCTAAAGTAAAATAAAAAAAAAAAGAGGGAGAAACTAAAACAGGTGTTTGCAAATATTCAGGGCAACATTATTGCTCGAAATAGAAGTAACTCATACTCATTAACAGATGAACAGGCATTTTAAAGTAGTCCGTAATGTATGCACTGTGATCTGGTCATCACAGCCATGAAGCCTGGTAGCTGGTATAACATGAATAAACCCTGAGAACAGCGTACTAAGTTAATGACCAGACACAAACGGACATATGCCAGTGGCTCGCCTTAGGTGAAGAATCTAGAATAGGAAAATCCACAGAAATAAAAGTAGAAAGAAGTGAGGAGGAGTGGGGAGTTTGTATTTGAAATGCTTACAATGTGTTGAGTGCTGAAAAGTAGTGGTAGAATGATTGCTTAGCATTCGGGAGGCTCTGGGTCTGATCCCCAGCACTGAAAAAAAAAAGTATTGCAAATATATGGTAATGATAATTGTATACCACTGTGGATGTAATTAATACTGCTGAATTGTAACTTAAAAACAGTTAAGTGGCAGGTTTATAGCGCACACAATAAGATAAAAACTTCCTTCAAACCCTTCACTAAACCTCTGCTGTATGTACTTGCAAACAGGTTATTGCTATGACGCCAATGGACAGTGTGTGCCTGTGTCTCTGGTGAGTAATCACAGCTGTGACACGCGTGTGAAGTGAGGGCAGAAATGTCAGCACAGTTCAGTGTCTACTCTGAACTAATGAGCTTTTAGTGGCCTAAAAAAATGTTTTAAATGATATACATGGCCTGTCTTTGAGAATTTTTATGAAGATAGTTTTGTCAGCTCATCAGCCCCACCCAAAAACAGAGTCTGTGTACAAAGCAATGCATGCTCCTTGTCTTAGTTGCTGTTCTGTTGCTTGAAAAGATCCCATGTCTGAGGTAGCACTTAAAAAGAAAGCATGTAATTGGGGGTGGCTTAATCTGTTTCTGAGGCAGGAAGGAGAGAAGCATGCTGCTAAGCATGCAAATAAATGAGCCGTGGAGGGCGTTCTCCTTCAGCCCACCGCATTCCGCTCCCTGGCTCCCATAGGCCATATTATAATTTAGACAGATTGTAATTTAGTCCAACTTCAAAGGTCCCATGGTCTTTTAGTCTCAAAACTGTGTCAAAGTGCAAACTCTCTCCTGAGACACAAGACAAGCTCTTGACTCTGCAACATCAGAAGGCAGACCACGCACTTCAGCGCACAATGGCACAGAGGCACATCACCACGGCAAAGGTGAGGAGACACTGAGCCAAGGTGCTGCTGTGATTCATTATCAGTTTGACTACATCTGGACATCTGGAGCTATCTAATGTCCAAGTGCCCACCCTATCAGGGTTGGGGTTTTTGTTTGTTTGTTTTTTGGTTTTTGTTTTTGGTTTGTTTTTTTTTTTTGGTTGGTTGGTTTGGTTTTTTTTTTTTTTTTTTTTTTTTTTTCCAGGCAGGGTTTTCCTGTGTGTATAGCCCTGGCTGTCCTGGAACTCACTCTGTAGACCAGGCTGGCCTCAATCTCAGAGATCCACCTGCCCCTTTGTCCTGAATGCTGGGAATAAAGGTGTGTGCCACCACTGGCTTGCTGGGATTTTTTTTCTTAATTAAATAATTTGAAGTGGGAAGACCCACTTTTAATCCAGGGCTTTTGAAATGGAAAGATCCACCTTTCATCTGGCCCACATCTTCTGCTGGTAGCCAGTGTAAAGACACAGAAGAAGGAAGCGTGTTCTTTGCCTGCTTGCCCTCACTCACTCTGGCAGCGGCATCACGGCACTTGTGTTACAGCCTACTTCTTTGGGATTCTCATGTACAGTGAAGACCATCTGAGACATTCAGACTCAGGGACTGAACAGCTACTGGATTCTTGGACCTTCTGTTGGTAGACAGTTCTTGTTGGACTAGCTGGACCACAGCCTATGAGCCATTCTACATCTACACACACACACACACACACACACAGAGAGAGAGAGAGAGAGAGAGAATAGCTATTTATAGAATTTATATATACGTGTGTGTGTGTGTGTGTGTGTGTGTGAGACATCCTGGAGCTGTGAAGAACCTTCTCCTGTTCCAGGCCCCACTCAAAGCCAGCAGTTTT